TTCCTCTCGGAAATTTTAGGCAAATTTAAAACACAAAATGATCAAACCCTCCATCCATCTTGGCCCCGAAGCACGGTGGCTCGTATCTTCGCTACGACGAGGGTGGATGGCTCGAGTGTAACTGAGAAGTTAACGCGATAACGATCTCAATGTTTGGGATTTCCGAGGGCTGAAATACAGATATCACCCACGACGAGACGTTATCTATTCTCGAGCGATGCCTACCCGAGAGAGTCGACTCCGAATTAATATTCCACCGCCGTGCAGAAATCGCCCACATTGTCGCGACAGTTCTGAAAGAAAGAAGCAGCGGGTCGAGATGTGTGCGGTCAAATTCCGTATTCGACGTCCCTGCTATCGCTCGTGGGAAAACGATTAAAAGAGGAATTCGATAGCTATCTGTCCCACTGTTTCACTCGAGTACATAACGTGTGCATATAATAAGCGTTTACACATCGTTGCCGAGGAGTGGATATCACTCATCGCTCAGGAGAGATTTGTTCGACCTTCCTTTTTTCTTGTAACAGTACATTGGCTCGCGAACGTGAAACGTTCCGGACGCAATGACGATACAAAAAAGACACTGATAAGCGAGAAACGTCGAGCGACGTAAAGTGAAGCGTATTCATTCATAAAATTGCACCGCAGTTATGTGTGATTAATATCACTTTATCGTTAATTTCATCGCCACTCTCGCTCCCATTTAGTTTTTAAGTGAATGTGAAAAGAGAGACGTTCTCAGATAACATTCAACCACTAACCCGAGAAGCTTTTATCCCGACGTTAAATTTCGAAATTCAGGAGCGGAATCTCTGGCTGTGTAAAGTATCCTCCCAATTAATATCCCTAATTGCCCACCGCGGAGAAGATAGCAGTAAAGCTCCGCGAAAGGATGTGCCGGGAGTACATAACTAACTGAAATTCGTCGGATCGTTCTAATCAGAAAAGAACGAGAGGAGGATGGAAAGCCCGACGGGGTGAAGCGTCGGCGAAGGGCGTATCACGTTTCGTGTGAGCCGATATTTGTTACAAGTTCTTATAGATGATGAAGAAGCGTTCCGCTCGGCGTGCAACACCGAGGCAGCCCCGAGAATGGGTGCTGGCATTGGGCCTTTGAGGGCCCTATTAACGAGAGGCCCCCCGTGGCCTCCTCCGCCGCCGCCGCCGCCGCCGTTGCAGCGGGCCCAATCAGCCATGAGTCCAATTCGGGGCCCCAGCTTCGACTTGTTTTATGTAATGCCCGCGACGCCAGAATCAATTAGCCGTGGCACCCTCCTATTTTGCGTATGCATGCGCGTATATGCATAGCGGGCGATCCCGGCCGAAACTTATTTGCAACTGTCCCGCGCGGGAACGACGGGGTGGACGAGAAAAACCGGTTCGGGGAGGCCGCGAGAGAGTTAGGCGGAAATTAAATAGCTCGGGACAAACGGGGGATCACAGAACGTTGTTGCTCGCCTCCGACCGTGCGGCGAATTAGGAACGCTAATTTCGGATCCCTGACACGATCAAGCCGCGCGGATCGGTCGCAGGTCGCGGTTAGGATATAAAGGATATAAAGAACGGCGCGCGAAGTCCCTCGAGGCTTTCAACGGGCGATTAAAGTCCATCAACGACATCGGGATCCGTTATACGGCTTGACAATACAAGTAAGGCTATTATCGCTGGATAGATCTGTACATATTATCGCGCAATTATTGGATGCGATTGTCATATTATCTCATATATACACTTGAATCCAATAATCGTACGTTATCGTAATTTATAGTATAGTTTCCACGACACAACGAGACGGTAACATACTAAAATAAGTAAGATAAGAGATAAGTAAGACGACGAACCGAAGTAAGGAACCAAGGTTCCCTCCTACGGAGAAAGTTGCCGGGAACTCACTATCAGCGACTACTATCGGCGTCTCGCCGTCACATCAGTCGCATCAGCATGTTGATCGATAATTGTTGAACATTGATTAATATTCAAGTTATCGTCAGCTATAATTGCCGTAAAAAATGGCCCGTCTAATCGTATCCTCGGCGCGAGATAACGAGAGTCACAACGGCGTGAGATTATGTTGTAAGTGGTGAGAGAAAGAGAGAGAGAGAGAGAGATTCGACGAGTGCGCGTATCGGGAATAGCCAAGCGCGCGGCGCGGTCAATTAGGCGGACTATCGTTACGTGTTTTAATGAGATCTCGACGCGGAGCCGAAGGTATATAAAAGTGTTTTATGTCCTGTGAAACCTGGGCACCGTTGTGCGCCGTCAATTAGGAGAGAGAGACTACGCGCAGCGCCGCCCATAATCAGCATATGCAACGTGGTGTATGCGCGGCCCTTAGGCCCGATAACCAGGAAGCGAACGACCCCCCTCTCGTCTTATTTCGGTAGTAAAAAAGTCGACGCGCGGCTGTTAGGCGCCGAACGTTTTCATGTTTATGCGAGGTGTCTTTTTCGACGGATCGTGTCGAAAGCTCATCGGCGTAATAAACGCGAATCGAAGGGAGAAGGAGAGGAATGATCTGGTGAACCTATCACATTCTGATGAAGTCGCCTGATCGTTTCTCGGGTTCGATCTAGAGTTAGGTGATATCGGATTTATGAAGTTCGATACTCTATCCCGTAATTGGACTTCGAAATGCAACTTCTCATTATCCTAGGGAGAGGGAGAGATCTCGACGCGGGTGCGGATGCATACAAGTGTTTCATGATTTCGTTTCATTATGGAATAACCATTGAAGACGACGATAAACGGAACTTGATTCTAGATTATATAATAACACTATTCGCGATGAGAAAATCAATTTGGTTTCTTGTGAAAAATGTCGAGATCCTCGCCAAGAGAGACGTCAGTGACGTGAAGCAGCACATCAGTCGGCGACTCTGGTACATCAAAGCGTAGGAAAGATCGGTCAAGAGTTGACTATGGGTTTCGTTTACATATTCATTGTGAGAAACAGTGGGAAAGAAATTGTGCGCGGAAAAAAGGATTTGATCGGATTAGCCAAATATCTAAAATAAAATATGAACGAGTCAGAATTCCAGTTGAAATTACCAAAATTCTGCTCAAGATTATTAAAAAGATTGTTTTTGATTCTGTTTAGGCAGAAATCTTGTTTGGTTAACCAGAATCTTATTAACACTTGAACAAAATTCTGCTAACTTTAACAGGAATTCTGGTTCATTCATATTTTACTATTTGGTTAATTCAACCAAATTCCTTTTTATGTGAAATGTTTTTTTTTTAGAATGCAGGTAATTTCTTTTTCGTTTATAATGTCTAGGTATTCTATACAATGCCGGATTTCTCACTTTGCCGGTAACACAACGATTAGACGAGAAGAATCAGCGGTGGCGGCGACGGGTGCATGAACGGTGCAGTCGCGTGTGCCTGCTGAAGAAGGAGCGGGCATACATCAAGCTTGTTTATATCTACGGAGGGGGTTCATCGCGCACAACAATACGGCAATTTGGCCACGACGACCGATACGAGATCTCTTCTCTCGACGGACATTGCTTTCCCATCCTACCGTTACACACCGCAGTCGACAGGAGTAAACGCGGCTCTGCCCCCGCTGCTCCGCCGCCTCTCTTTTCCACCGGTTCCCCGGCGTCGCATCGATTTAACGGAGACCCGTGCCACGATCCCACGAGCGTGCGTGCGTGGCGTGCACGCACCCACACTCACGCATACACGCATACGTAGCGCGGACGCGTGTACCTGCCGCGTCGTCCATTTCGGGAATCCGACGCGATCTTATCTACCACGGTGCAGCCGCCACGACCCCCGCGAAGAGAACCTTTGATTTAGTGCAGGCAGGGGGAGAGGAAGAAGCAGGAGGAGGAGAATGGAGAACCGGGCGATGAGGGCGAGACGGGAGAGCGGCAGGATCGTCCTGTTTCGACGGCTGCAGCGCTGACGCGAGAGTTCCACGCGCAAGAGTTCCACGCACTTCTTACGAATTTTGTCGGTGGAACGAAAGTTTTTCGAGAAAAACGCGAAATCTGCTTATGAAATCATCGTTCTCGACGAGCGAGTCTGAGGGAGAATTCATATCTTGATAGAAAAACAGAGAAAGACAGAAGCTAATCAGAATTGGTAGAAAAGTAGAAATTGTCGACTACCATCTGACCACCAGCGCAAGTCCGAAGTTTACTCTACAACGTGCTCTTTACTTCCTATTTCTTGTTCTCTGTCTTTTTCTGACCTAAAACTTAAGTTCTAAATCAGAAAGAAATAAAGAGAAAGAAACAGGAAACAAAGGACATATTGTAGATTAAGCTTGATTGCCTTTTGGCTTTTTTGCTTTTCTGTCAAGATTTATATTCTTCTTGAAGCCCGATTGGACTAACCGAATGGTAAATTAACTAACAGTTAAAACATGTGTCTATCTTTGTTTATTTCGAAGGAAAAACAAGAACAGATTAACTATTAGTTAACTTACCACTTTAACTATTTATTTAACTATTAGTTAGCTTACCACTTGGTTGGTCTAACTGGATTTAAGGATAGTATTCATAATCAGATCTTATATTTAAGATCACCTCAAGTTTATTTTCAGATACTGCACAGATTATTTTATTGGTTACAGAGTATCTGAAGAAGAACTTAAAATAATCTTAAATATAGGAACGGATTACGAATACCGACCTAAATAAACAGATCGCGGAAAAAAATAATTAATGCTTCATATAATTATGTATATCGTTCTATCTCTGCATATCATTACGATTATCAGTGACTTTAACTGCGTAAAAAGAACGTATTATTCTCGCATTATACTTCCGTGAAGATATGTGCATATATTCGTATAAATTCTTCTAATCAAGGAGGAATCTCTTCTAGTTTTGTATCGTGTACTAAAAGAGTAGTACAATTCGCTTCGTATAACTTCACTCCTGCGACATCCCTAATAGAAGCTTCATAATCGTGATTTAAAATTGAAAGACGCTTGAGAACGCGCGGAATAAGTCAGATCGGCGAAATATTCAGGAAAAATTACTCACTTCTTTAAGAGGAACCTTGAACGCCAAGATTTGAGTGCCCTTGATCACATCACCAACAGGTTTGTACTCGAGCCACCTGTAAATATACAAGAACGACTATAAGTATGATGTGTTGAGGATAAAATTAGGAAATAGCAAAACACGGACGATGGGCAGATTTGATATTTCGCAAAGATCGACGTTCATTCCGCGAAAACGTAGGAGTAAAGACGGACGATAAGTAATATGAAAGATTAGTGACGTGTGACTGAGGATTAACATTCGTTGAACTGCGATTCAAATTTCGGTAATTATACCGGGTTAAGACACACACAGCGCCATCTGTGAGAAAAGGCGGGAATTGATGTATGAGATACATGCTCGATCGGTTCATTCGAGGAAGCGTCCTCGATGCTGTTGCAATAGACGAAATTTTCCTACTATCTCTAATCGGAGCACTGGACAGGTTAAAGTTGCGTCTTAATTCTCGGATAAACAAACATATATGAATACCTCGTTAACAGCACCGCCGCTGCACGAGTCTCAAATGTCAAGAAAAATCGGCACAACATAACCTCTCTCTACAATGTGACTTTTTCCGAACGCGTAAGCACACAGTTCTAACTGCCGCGGGACGTTCGGCTATCTTTGCCGTATAGCGGGTAAAAAGTCGCTCACCTGTCCGGTACTAAATTTGCCATATTTGCCGCTCACTCACAAATCTTGCCGCGAAAGCAATAGCATAACACCGAAACGCAATACCACTATCATCGCACAACACATACACGGAGTAGTAGCAGAGAGTAGCAGCAGTAGACGCACTCGCGCGGAATCGCGGCGCAGCACGGTCGATCGATCTCTCGATTTTCGCGTGTATGCCACTCGCGGCACATTGAAATCAAATTAAAGATACGTGACCAGATCTTTACGAACTTTTTTAAGCGATATATATTTCAGAGAAAATCGCATAAATATAAATAATATTATGAATAATTACATAAATTTCTCGTATAGGACGATTTTACAATCTCATGTAAAATAGGAGTAAAATATTCCGAAAATTAACAAAAATATTATTGAGAGGAAACAAGGCTATTTGGAAGTTATTTTGTCTTTTTATTATCCCAATATTAAGTTATCGATAAAAATGCATAAAAATTAAAGTACTTATTCTTCTATTAAAGTACTTATTTCTTCTATTAAAGTACTTATTTCTTCTATTTGACATTTGATATTGAAAATTATATCTCATAAAATAATAATTACTCAATATTACATCAAAATAGCAAAATAAGCACAGGAAGCAAGAGAATACTTACTCTCTCTGTACTAATATAAAAAGATTTATTATGTACAAAGTTATTTAATAATTAAATTATTTAAGTCCAGAATGTAGTCGATATAATGTAGCAGTAACTTTATTATTAACTCGTTAGACATTGTACAGCATCATCCTCAGACAGTACTTTGAGCTTCAAAGCTTCTGTCAATATTTTATTTTCAACGTTGAGAAGTTCGGTAGGCTTTTTATACTATAATAAAATAATAAGTAGAATATATGTGTTATATAATCACGAAATGTATATAGAAAGAAATATTTTTTCGTACCATTATAATTAAAGTGTTCAAACTATGTGTAAAGGTTATGGCATCTTGTTTGGGTTTTAATCCAATTCGTTGAAGATCTGGAACTTCTAACTTCTTGAAGTATTTCTTGTTGCTTGTACGTACAGTTATGGTGTCGTCCTCCTCTGCAGTAACAGAATATACATCTTTAGGATACGGTAAATTCCTTATTCGCCATTCCAGCAGAGTTTTCGTGATCCTTCTTACAACAACTGGCTGTAACAATACAATTATACTCAAATATATTTATTACATTTTATTTTCCATACAGAGGTAGACTCTTACAGACAGATATAAATTATACTGATAAATTATACTAATAAATTATACTAAAGTAGCACATACCATATTTGAGCTTTCTTGTATTACACAGGTCTCATCATCTTGTGTAAGGATCTTGTGTCCAGGATCTCCAATTTCAACAGACCAACCGATCTCTTTCTCAAACTGATTTCTTTTTCTCCATGTTCTGCGTACCACTACATTTGTATCTAAATTATATTCTTCAATCATTTCCTGTTTATTTTTCAACAAATAGTGAACCTTTCTCTTGCCTATATGAAACATAATAAAATCAAGAAAAATATCTCACATATTAAACACACAAATATATGTTGCATAGAATTCTATTTTGTTTTACTTAGAATTCTACTACTGAGACATTATTATTATAATTAATAAAAGAAGAATATACAACACATAATCCTAAGTAGATTTGGAAATATATGACAAAAATATTAGCTTAGAAATATTAACTTAGAATGTCGTAAAGTTAACAATAATGGAATTACAACAACTGGTTTGTTCTGATATAATAATGTATATTATGTTACTACATTAATTAGAAAAACATTAATCATGATACATTTTTTTCAACCTTGTGTAATATTATGATAATCTATTAAATTATGGTATTAATAAATTTTTTTGTTTTGATGGAATTCTATTGTGCTCTCAGCCTCCTCGCAGGCTATTTGAGGCACTATACTTTGTACAACCTTAATCTGAAATATATAAAAATTTTCCTATTCCTCAAGGTATTGATCAAACACGTTTAGAGGTTAAAATAAACATGTCATAAATAAAAAATCATAGAAATCGCAACTTTATAACCGACAACAATTGTATAATTCGAAGTTTATAAGTCATTTTTACCATCCTGAATACATGCAGTTTTCTGTGCATTTTGAAGAGTCGCCAACCAAGATTCTGATGACATCGTTAACAAATTTGAGAGTTTCTTAGCAACTGGAGAATGAACTATGAATATGAAAAATATACAGTCCGCTTGACATTCAATAAGTGTCATGTAAAAGTCAATTAAGAGTTACTTCGAGTCTTGATTATGTGGAGTTTAAATCCTGACTGAAATTTTGATAGGCGTTTTTTGTTTCGTAACCACGGTAGCGTTTGATTGGTTAGTTTGGTCCACTTAACGCTCGCAACGCCACGAGCGTCATTCTATCTTTTAGCGTGTTCGACTGGCCCTGGGTTAATCGCTCCGAGAGCGATTAATGACGTCATAAGTCTCTACTAACCAATCATAAAGCTTATAAGTACTTGTTCGACCAATAAATGTAGGCTGAATAACCCAGAGTGGGTTAATCCAGAGCCAGTCGAACATGCTATTTGTTGCTCGAGGCGTTCAAAGCGTCAAGTAGACCAAACCAACCAACTAAACGATATCGTGGTCACGAAACGAAAAAACGCCTCTGGCCACACACACTTTCCGTAAAGGCCAAATCACATTAACGATTGGCGATAAGGCCAAATCACACTAATGGCTTCTGCATACAGAACGCGGCAACACTGTTCGTATGTATTTGACCGGAAAAAAAACTCCTTGGAAAACTATTCTTTTAAATCGTTTGTATTTCGTATGAAGAGTTTTGAAGTACAATTAAAAAGATTATAAAGTGCAATTAAAAAGCTTGTTGATTCGTTAAAATCTAATGTTTAATTGTCAATCGTCAATCGCTAATCCCTAGTGTGATTTGGCCTTTAAGAGCCCTCACACATGAAATGACAACTGCATGTGCATAGCATAAGACTGTATGGACCAATGAGCATCGAGTATTCAGCATCCAGCATCAATATGGCGGTTAAATACTCGATGCTCATAAGTCCATACAGTCTTATGTTATACACATGCAGTTGTGTCATTTCATGTATAAGAACCCTAAGACACAACGTAAGAATTGACCAATTGCGATCGAGTATTTATAAAAATAACGACCTTACGATTCGATGATTCTCAACATAATTGGTCTTACGTTACGTCTTAGGGCTATCGCACACAAATTGACATAACTGCATATGCATAGCATAAGACCGTATGTACCAATGAGCATCGAGTATTAAGTCGCCATATTGGTGTTCGATGCTTAATATTCGATGCTCATTGGTCCATACGATCTTATGCTATGCATATACAGTTATGTCAATTTGTGTGCGATAGCCCTTACGGTTATTGTTACGAAAAGTGTGTGTGGCCAGCTTAAGAGACGCCGCACACGAATTGACATAACAAGTAACGTAAAACGTACCGTAAAAATGGATCAATTACAATCGAGTATTCACAAAAATGGCGACCTTACGATTCGACGATACTCAAAGTGATTGGTCAATTCTTACGGTATGCTTACGTTACTGTTAGGTCAATTCGTATGCGACGCCTCTTACCTCCACTTTTCCTATTCTCACAATGCTTCGCTATGTAATCAACATTACGCGTGCCCCCGAGGGATAAATGTCAAAAAATCGAAACATGAAGTTAGATTTCAATGGTAAAACAGAAAGTAAGAGAGAGATGGAATATGACATACGCCGCACTGTTTTATCACGTTTGATAAACTGCAGAACCACTTGCAGTATAAATAAAATATATATGTATAAACTTAACACACATAGTGAAATAAAGACAACAATAAGTGTGTATATATATATATATATATATATATATATAT